TAATTGCGATGGGTGCTTGGCGTGGGCCAGTGCGTCCCCGCGGCCGCGCTGGCCCGCGCGCGCTCTCGCGCGAAGCGGCCGGCTTGTCTGGCGCGACCGATGCGGCCGCGGTGGCGCTGGCCGCTGGGCACTTCCCAGCGGTCGCTTCAGTGCGGGTCGACGACTTGGGCGGTCGCGGCACCATGGCAACGTCGACAGCGGTAGACGCGATGCTGGTAGTAGCGATGCTGGTTGCGATGGTGACAGCCACGACGGCGAGGCCACTGACGGCGCCAATTCTGATCGCGCCGACGACAATGACGGCGTCCTCGCGTCAGTGATGGAAACGTTTTGGAAGGGGTTCGACGCGCGCGCGCGGCCGACGCGCGACAGTGGCCCCCGCCCCCAGCACGCTTGCAAGGGCAGTCGAATAATTTCGACATGCGGCGCGAGAGGCCCATGTTGAACACCTTGTGGCAGTCTTGCGAATTTGCAGGGGCGCGTTTGCGGGCATCTATGAGAACTGATGTCGCACGTCGGTTTTAGTATGTATGTATGTATGAATGTGTATATATAGTTTATGTTAAAAGTTTTCGGGGCACTCGATCTTAGAATTCTATCTGGGCCGAAGGTTTTTGACGGATTTCCGAATGCGCGCGCGACGACGCGCGCGCTTCCCCCCCTCTAGCTTTCGGAAAAAAGGGGTTCTTGCAACTGCGCGCGCGCAAGGGCGTTCGAGCGATTTCGACATGCGCGCGCGAGAGGCACGTTTGGTAGCCTTTTGATGAGCATGTTGAAGCCTATGGGTTCCTTATGGATCTGACAGGGCGCGAGCGCAGAGTTTTGTTAATAACTGAATTCGTTTGTTGTTGTCTTTCTATGCTTATATATGTTTGTATGTATGTATGTAATATATATACATACATACATTGTTGAAGATCTATCAGGTTCCCGGTGGCACTCGTATCTGAAATCCTTGCGACGCCTCGGGCTTTTGAAGGATTTCCGCGTGCGCGCGCGACAACGCGTTCGCGTGCATTTCGTTTTTTGTTGTTGTTGTTGTTGTTGTTGTTGTTGTTGTCTTTTTTGGCCCAGGGGATTTGTGACAACTCACGAGTTTTTATAACCGAGTGTGCGCGCATCCTTTTTTTGTTTCTTTATTTTCTTTTCCAGAGGATGAAGGTTGGGGTGTCGGTTCAGCTGGGATGATTGGAAGTGATACTTAGGATGGGCGATGGGGCAGAATCGTGTCCCACAACTTGGTTTGCAAAGTCCACGCGGCGGTGATTGCGATAACTGGTTGGCGCTGGCTGGCGCATCGCTGCGGCTGCGCTGGCGCGCGCAGGCTCGCGCTCGGAGCGGCCGGCTGGTCTGGCGCCACCGACGCGGCCGCTGTGGCGCTGACCAATGGGGCCCGCCCAGCGCGTCTTGCAGGCCGCGATGACGCGCGGCCACTTCAGTGCGAGTCGGTAGCGCGGGCGGGCGCGGTACCATGGCGACGCCTACGACGGCGCACGCGATGATGATAGTAACGATGCTGGTCGCGATGGTGACACTGACGATTGCAAGGCCAATGACGGCACCGATGCTGATCGCGGCGATGACGATGATGGTGTGCACATGTCGGTGATGAAGGTGCCGGAAGGACTTTGACATGCGCGCGCGGCCGACCCGCGCGAGTGGCCTCACGGTATTTTGGAAGTCGTTCTCCCCCAGCACGCGCGCAAAGGCTTTCGGATGATTTCGACGCGCGCGCGCGAGCGCTCCGTTAGGCCGCATTTTACGAAGATGCTGCACAACGTATGGTTTTCGGACGAATTCGCACGACCGTGCGTGGGTGTTTCTTACAAAACCACGTTGCAAAACCACGTAAACAATCATATGGTTTCGGGGCATTCGAATTTGATATTCTTATGCATTTTTTTGCAGGAGTTCGGCATTCGCGCGCGACGACGCGGGCGTGCCGACGTTGCTTCGCTTTTTTGGCAAAGTGGTTCTGAATTTTGATTATTTCCCACATGCTTAGTGGGGTTTTGGTTTTCTTCCATGCCTCGTCGCACCCGCGCTCCCTCACCTCACCTCCCTCTTCCCCTTCTCACACAGCGCAGCACAGCACAGCACAGCACGACACTGCTCAGCATAGCTCAGCACAGCTCAGCTCAGCTCAGCTCAGCTCAGCTCAGCACGGCACAGCACAGCACAGCTCAGCTCAGCACAGCAGGGCATCGCAGGCGTGGCATCTTCTCGACACCATAAGGGGGTGCGCAAGGGGTGGTCCCTCAGCGCGGTCGGTATACACGACGGCCGTCCAGGGCATAGCAGGCGTTGCATTTTCTCGACACCATAGGGGGTGCGCAGGGGGTGGTCCCTCAGCGCGGCCGCTATACTCGACGGTCGTCCAGGGCATAGCAGGCGTGGCATTTTCTCGACACCGTAGGGGGTGCGCAGGGGGTGGTCCCTCAGCGCGGCCGCTATACACGACGGTCGTCCAGGGCATAGCAGGTAGGGGGTGCGCAGGGGGTGGTCCCTCAGCGCGGCCGCTATACACGACGGTCGTCCAGGGCATAGCAGGCGTGGCATTTTCTCGACACCATAGGGGGTGCGCAGGGGGTGGTCCCTCAGCGCGGCCGCTATGCACGACGGTCGTCCAGGGCATAGCAGGCGTGGCATTTTCTCGCTGCGCTATAAACGACGGTCGTCAGGTGCATGGCAGGCGTGGCATTTTCTCGACGCCATAGGGGGTGCGCAGGGGGTGGTCCCTCAGCGCGGCCGCTATACGCGACGTTCGTCCAGGGCATAGCAGGCGTGGCATTTCCTCGACACCGCATGGGGGTGCGCAGGGGTGGTCCCTCAGCGCGGCCGCTATAAACGACGGTCGTCAGGTGCATGGCAGGCGTGGCATTTTCTCGACGCCATAGGGGGTGCGCAGGGGGTGGTCCCTCAGCGCGGCCGCTATACGCGACGTTCGTCCAGGGCATAGCAGGCGTGGCATTTCCTCGACACCGCATGGGGGTGCGCAGGGGGGGGTCCCTCAGCGCGCGAGGCCGATATACACACGGTCCCGTCCAGGGCATAGCATGCGTTGGCATGTTCATCGACAACCATCGGGGATTCGCAGGGGGTGGTCCTCAGGCGCGGGGCGCGATATACACGACGGTCGTCCAGGGCATAGCAGCGTGCATTTCCCTCGACACCCTAGGGGGCGCAGGGGGTGGTCCCTCAGCGCGGCCGCTAGAACGCGACGGTCCGTCCAGGGCACAGCAGTCGTGGCATATTCTCGGGGGGACACAATAGGGGTGCGCAGGGGTGGTCCGCAGCGGCGGCCGCTATGCACGACGGTCGTCCAGGGCATAGCAGGCGTGGCATTTTCTCGACACCATAGGGGGGTGCGTAGTGGGTGGTCCCTCACCGCGGCCGCTATGCACGACGGTCGTCCAGGGCATAGCAGGCGCGGCATTTTCTCGACACCATTGGGGGTGCGCAGGGGGTGATCCCTCACCGCGGCCGCTATGCACAGACGGTCGTCCAGGGTATAGCCACAGGCGTGGGCTTTTCTCTCGGCGAGCATAATGGGGTGCCGTGGGTGGTCCGCTCACGGGCGGCCGCTATAACGGACGGTCGTCCAGGGCATAGCCGCGTGGCATTTTTCTCGACACCATAGGGGTGCGCAGGGGTGGTCCCCCTCACAGCGCGGCCGCTATACACGACGGTCGTCCAGGTCATAGCAGGCGTGGCATTTTCTCGACACCATAAGGGGGTGCGCAGGATGTGGTCCCTCAGCGCGACCGCTATACACGACGGTCGTCCAGGGCATAGCAGGCGTGGCATTTTCTCGACACCATAGGGAGTGCGCAGGGGGTGGTCCCTCAGCGCGGCCGCTATACACGACGGTCGTCCAGGGCATAGCAGGCGTGGCATTTTCTCGACACCATAGAGGGTGCGCAGGGGGTGGTCCCTCACCGCGGCCGCTATGAACGACGGTCGTCCAGGGCATAGCAAGCGTGGCGCTTTCTCGACGCCAGACGGGGTGCGCAGGGGGTGGTCCCTCACCGCGGCCGCTGGCTGGCTCGAATCTGTCCTCGATGGAGGATAGAAGGCTAGGAAGAGGGAGGATGTTCAAGCAATATGGCGTTTGAGGACACATAGGGGAACTTGTGCGACGAGGGCTCAGAACGCAGAATTGCGCATAGATTAAAAACTTCAGCAAACACATACTATTTAAATTAAGTATGTGGGGTTCCTCGGTAGCGTAATCTTTGATAAGCGAGTGTGCGCGCATTGTATTATTTGAAGATGGGGGGAATTGGCTTGGCTGGGATGTTACGAATTCCAGTATAGTGCGAAGGGACAACAGAAAACTTCATATGTAGATTGCGCATTCCCCTGGGGGGACGGATAGGTCCGGGGGGGGCTGGTAGACCCGAGTTCCTGTTAAGAAAGGGACTTTTATTAGGCGGCGACGGGGCGGCGACAGCAACCACAAGGCGGCGGACCCGACGCGCAGGCCCAGACGACGAGGCGTCGACGAGGCGGCGACGTACTTGGAGGCGAGGGCGGCCACATAGCCGCCAGAGCGACGCGCAGGCCCAGACGACGGGCGGCGACGGTGCGGCGACGGGGCGGCCAGACTGGCGCGCAGGCCCAGTTCCATAGGAAACAAGTAAGAACCCGTAAGTGCAACCATCGTTTTGTGGAAACGATCCAGGACGAAAAATCGGGCCCAGGGAAAGGGCCAGGATTTCCGGGGACCACGTAGCGAAACAAAAAGCATTGCATCCGGATCTCTGGGTTTGTGTCGTTTTGGCTTTCCTGGGTGGCCCTCGTCGCCACGGCCGGATTTGCCTCGAGATCTTGGTCAGAACGCATCTCACGAGCGGTCTTGGGAGCAGCGGTATTGTACTTTCAGCCCCCAGAGTGACGACCCAGACGTGTGAGATCTGGATTTTTTGGTATTGGGTCCCCGACGTCCCGACCCGGTTTTCCGTCCCGAGACGGTCCCAGGTCCCTGTAAGGGCCCCCAGTGGACCAAAACGGCCAAGAAAAACTTCCCGTCCTGATTTTTTTTAGCACGCGTGCATGTCTGCTGATCGCGTTGAGAGCGTGCCGCAGATCTGCATCCGCCGCCTGGGCGTCGTGCCCCGGCCCCCGGCGCGTCTGGGCCGCATAAGCCTGGCCTCCGGCGTTCCGTGTGGGCCGCTGCTGGTGTGGCGTCGCTTCCCCTGGTCGACTTCTCTGGGCCTCCAACATGGGGTCGGAGCGGACGGGGTCGGAGGATGGCGCCGCATCGCCGATGCATCGGCGTTGCGGCTCGATGCGGACCGGGGGAAGCTGTCCAAGCCTCCGGGAGCCACGCGCCGGCAAGAGTCAGCACCCCGGCTGGCCGAGTGCAGGCCGGGCCGCACGCCGCTCCAGCGCTCGGCCCTCGCAGGAGAGCACGCGCGGCGATCCCCCCCCACGTGCATCCCGGGGGGGGCCAAGAAATGTACACCACCACCTTCCTCCCCACCTCCCTCTCGCTGGAAAGAGGAGGGAGGAGGAAGCGACGTGGTGGTGGTGTGTATATTCTTGGGGCCCCCATCCAGTGGGCGGCCTCCGCATCTTCCTGCTCCTGCGTGCGAAGGCAGCCGCGTGCGCTTCCAGCCCAAGCTTTCCGGGGTCCCCGCACGGGTTCGGCCTGCCCCACCGGCTGCCCAGTGCTGGCGGTGGAGGCCAGCAGCGGGGGTACTTCTCTGCTCCTCCTCCTCCTCCTCCTCCGCCTCCTCCTCCCTCCTCCTCCTCCTCTCCTCCGCCTCCTCCTCCTCCTCCTCCTCCTCCTCCTCCTCTCTCCTCCTCCTCCTCCTCCTCCCTCCCCCTCCTCTTCCTCCTCCTTCTCCTCCTCCTCCTCCCCTCCTCCTCCTCCTCCTCCTCACTCCTCCTCCTCCTCCTCCCTCCTCCTACTCCTCCTCCCCCTCCTCCCTCCTCCTCCCACTCCTCCTCTCCTCCTCCTCCTCCTCCGCCTCCTCCTCCTCCTCCTCCTCCTCCTCCTCCTCTTTGGGTTCGCGTTGAACCCCCTTCCCCGCCCCTGGGCGGCGCCTCTGGCGCAGCTCCTGGCGTAATCCGTGCGCCAGGGGAGGGGTGCGCGGAGGGATGCCCAACGCTGGCCCGGCCCAAAAGATGCGCGCGCACCCAAGGAAGTCCACGCTCGTGCAGCTGTTTTGTTCGTCTTGAGACAGGGTGGCGACCTGCAAATGTTCCTATTCATACAGTCTGTTTTGTTTTTCCAAGAATGTCGGGGCGGACGACCAGGAGGGATATGGAAAGGGGGGGGGCGCGAAATATGCTGCGTGCGGCTGGTTTCGGCGCCACCGCCAGGCATTGGCGCCTCCGGCGCCGTGAGAGGGAAACAAACCAGATACGTCGGCTTATTCGCGAAAAACACCTTTGATAAATTCCCCCCCACCCACCCCGTTGTCCGATCCGAGCATGGGTCTGCCACGCGCACAAGGGGGTAGGGGGAGGGGGGAAGGCTTCTCTGAAGGAGGCTGCTTCTTAGATAGCGCGCGGGCCGCGTCTGTTGATGTGAGGCCCGCGCCTTTTTGAGGAGCAGCCTCCTTCTGAGAAGCCTTCCCCTCTCCCCGGGCTCCCCCTGTGCGCGCCGCCAAATGGTGGAGCCCCCCCCCAGGAAGGTTGGCTCTCGTATTCTTCCAGTGGGCCGGCCCTCTCAGGACCCCTCCCCCGGGGCCTTCTCAGAAGCCCCCCCTCCCCTCGCCCCCCCCTGCATGCGCGCCCTTCCCCTGGCAACCCTGCTGAGGCCGCGGGTCCGTTTTCTCTTTTTGTCTGGGGCTCGGGGAACAAGAAACGGCATAACCTTAGGTCGGGCATGTCCTCCCACAGGGGGATTTTGGACGAAAACTTAAACGTTGGCAACACATATTCCCCAATGGTCAAAAATAGTCGAAGAATCGTCCCCATCTTATTTTTGGATTATTTTTGAAGGCTCGTCCTGTAGAGGGACATGTCCGACTTGAGCATAACCATGAACTTTCGGAGCTCCGCCTAGGTTTCTTGGGTCGGTGCTGGGCCTCCTTGGCGGCGCCTCCTGCGCCGCCGCTAGCGCGCTCCGCGCGCCAGGGAGGGGGGGTTCAGCGCAGATCCGAGCCATCCGCGCGGACCGTCAAAATTTCTGTACATGCCATCTTTAGTTCCTCCAGGGGCTGGATCCCAGCACAGCGCCCTGGCCCCTTCTCCTCCTCCTCCTCCTCCTCCTGCTCCTCCTCCTCTTCCTGCTCCTCCTCCTCCTCCTCCTCCTGCTCCTCCGCCTCCTCCTCCTCCTCCTCCTCCTCCTCATCTCCTCCCCTCCTCTCCCCCCGCCTCCTCCTCCTCCTCCTCCTCCTCCTCCTCCTCCTCCTCCTCCTCCCCCCTCCTCCTCCTCCTCATTCCTCCTCCTCCTCCTCCTCCTCCTCCTCCTCCTCCTCCTCCCTCCTCCTCCTTCCTCCTCTCTCCTCCTCCTCCTCCTCCTTCCTCCTCCTCCTCCTTCTCCTCCTCCTCCCCCACCTCCTCCTCCTCCTTCCTCTCCTCCTCTTCCTCCTCCTCCTCCTCCTCCTCCTCCTTCCCATCGCCCCGCCTCCGTGAGCTCGCGATGCTCGTGGGCAGTGGCGCGGCGGCGGGCATTGTCCACGGCGTTTTTAGACCGTGGCGCATGCGTCGCGTGTCTGCGGTGCACCTTTTTTTGTCCCGAGGCTCGGATTTATCCAGATCCAACGCCCGGGAATACCGATTTCCATGGACAGCGGCAGAGGAGGCGGGCATGGACACGCTCGGGCGCCCGGGGCACACGTAAAGCCGCATCTCCCGCCACCTCCCGGCCCCCCCAGGACCTCGGCTCCCGGGCGGTGGATGTGGATACTTTCCTGCCTTGCCTTCATGGCGCCGTCGCGGAGCCCTCGTGCACAGGCGGGGTGACGCACAAGCGGCGTTGCTGCCCCGAGGGCCTGGCCAGGTTACAGAGGGCCGAGGGCCCTCCAGGCCAGGCGCGCGCGCGCGCCAGATGTTCGACTGAGGTCGGCTTCTTTCCCTTCTGTTGCGCCGTCCCGGAGTCATCGTTCAGAAGCAAGATGGTGCGCAGGTGCCCAATGAGCCAGCTGCAGCCGCGCTCTGGGGGAAACGGCGGCAGCTGCACGGAATAGTTCTCGCCCTTCTTTTCATTTTCACCGTCCCCCTCGTCCCCACTTCAGGTGATCCAATTCTTCCTCATCTTTATCCCACCCTCGTTTTAATGGCAGGTGTGGACGTGTGGCACCTGTTTTCGGGGTGCCCGTCCTGTCAGCGTGGCAGAAGGCCACGACGGGTGATTCGTCGCAGCCAGTCCTCTAGCAGTAAGGCCTCCTCTTTTCTGCTTCGAGCGAGCATTGAAAACTTGGCCCATCGTGTCTGTACCTCGTCCATCTTCTACTGCATTCTCGAGGTGCCTCCTCCTTGACCTCCTCTACTCCCCCCTCGTTGTTTCTCATCATCATCGTCGCCGTCCTCCTCCTCCTCCTCCTCCTCCTCCTCCTCCTCCTCCTCCTCCTCCTCCTCCTCCTCCCCCTCCTCCCCCTCCCCATCCTTCCACTGCCTTCAGAACAGACGCCTTGCCAGACCTGCCCTGAGCGGTCCGACGGGGATCTCGAGACGGTCGTCGTGGCGACGAGGGCCAACAGGAGGCCTCCCAAAGCGAGAAGCAGCAAACGTCCGTCCTGCTCCTGGAGGAGGAGGAGGAGGAGCAGGAGGAGAGGAGGAGGAGGAGGAGGAGGAGGAGGAGGAGGAGGAGGAGGAGGAGGAGAGAGGAGGAGGAGGAGGAGCAGGAGGAGGAGGAGGAGGAGGAGGAGGAGGAGGAGGAGAGAGGAGGAGGAGGAGGAGGAGGAGGAGGAGGAAGAGGAGGAGGAGCAGAGATGGTCGTGGACTTGCGCGAGAGGCCGTGTCCCGCGATGCCTCGTGCCGGAGACGCCGAGCTGGACGTCCCGGCGGTAGGTGTCACCATGTGCGACGCCGTCACCCCAGAGAGCTCCCTGCGAGGCGGCGCGATCGAGTTCCTCGAGCGGGAAGGAACAGTCACTCGCGCAGAGTTGAAGGAGGTCAATTGGGGCCAGGCTCTCGACCTCCCGAAGAAACCCTATCGTTAAGTCGGGCCTGTCCCTCTACAGGAGGAACATACACAACTAGTCAAACATATAGTGTGGTGACGGTTTGTTTGGTGACTATTTTTGAATAGTTTTGAATATTTTGGTGGGTATGTATTTTTGAATTGTTCCAAACTCTGCCTGTAGGGGGGCACGCCCGACCTAATCCGATCGGGGGCACGAAGGCGTCTGCGCGTGCGGCACGCGGGCCTGCGTGCTTAGCCGCTGCCTCGGATGCAATCAATCGCACAGGCCGACAGGAGGACGCTCGGCAGGCCAGGGGACTCTTCGGCGAGACGCTGGGGTTCGGGCGCGTCCGTCTACAGGAGGAATATTCAAAAATAGTTGAAGAAACAGTCTGGGGACGATTGTTTGATCATTTTTTGACCATTTTCGAATATTTTTGGACGATTTTCATTTTTCGTCCAAAACCCGTCTGTAGGGGGACACGCCCGACCTAACGCTGGGGGTGGGCGGGGGGTGGGCCGCGTCGGGCCGATCGGAAAGTCCCGCTTGGAGCCAGTTCTGGAGCCGCCCGAGGAGAACCGTACGCGGGGCGCGGATGGCATCGACGCGGCGACAGCAGCTCCCGAGGGCATCTCGGATGCGAAGCCCGTCGGTGCCGTGGGGCCCGAGGGCGGGAAGATCGGTCGACTCCCTTGGCCTACTACGGGGGTCCCTCACGCGACGGAGGAAGCGGGAGGTTTTGCATCCTCAGCCACATCCATCCGCGAAGCCGAACAAAAGGATTCGTCCGCGCAGTATCGGCGCCCGCAGGCCCCGAAATTTCAACGTTGATGCCCTGACAAGTGCTTTCATGTGTTTATCGTCGGCGTTCGCAGACCGCGCCGTGCGCGCCATTGAACATTGAACTTTTGGGGCCATGGAGGGGAGGGGGGGGGGGGCAAAACTTGCTTCAAGTTCCGCGGGGGGATGGAGGATTGTCTCGGTATGACCCGAGGCGGCCAGGGCGGCCCCTGGCTGGGCAGAGGACGCGCTTCGGAGGGAGTGCTGCCCATACCGACACCCGGCCGAGCTCCGCGCTACGACCCGTGAAAGGGCACCCGCCGGCCAGCGAGATCGAAGCGGAGCACGTCGCGAGGCCGAGGGGGGCTCTCGGAGGAACGCTCCAGCAGGCGCAGCACCAATCGAGCGACGCAAGAAAACGGGGTCGTCTGCGCCGACACTGGCGCGGAAGCTGCCCGCTTAAGGTCGCGCGTAAGCGCCCTCGCTTTCAGCGTAGCGTGCCGCGCTGGCGGCCCGCGTAAGCTGCGGCGTAAGGTCGCTGTGTCGTCTCGCGTAAGACCCGCTCCTTTTTGTCACCCAATCGGGCAGGGTCAGAAGCACCTCGGAGAAGTATGTTTTGGCCTGAACCAGATGCAATCCTGCAGAGAATTTTGTCTGCGATCGAGCGGGGTCGTCGCCCCAGGAGGCCGAGAGGTACAAGGGCGTCCTGCTGCAGTGCGTGGATCTCCGCGGCCGAGTCGGCGGCGAGCGGGGGGGGGGGAAGCGAGAAGGAGAAAGCCTGTCCTGAAGGCGGCGGGACTTCTCAGAAGCTCGCGCCCTCTGAGCTTTTTTGTTGGTCTTCCGTGAAGGCGGAGAACACTTTTCAGAAGGCTGGGGGACTTTCGAGCCTTCTGAGAAGGCCCGCCCCTTCTCACTTCCAACCCAGGCTCGCCGCCGACTGAAGCCGCGGTAGTGGGCATTTCGCCGGCGCTGCTCGGCCAGATCGATGCCAGAGCGTCGAGTCGGAGCCTCGACGGCCTGGCATTCCGACGCCCAAATCGGCGGGGCATGCATGGAACACATGGTGCCCGAAGAAATGCGAGACTGTTGGGCAACGATTGGAATCGGCCGCGAGCTCGTGTGGGGTCACATGGAGCGCGCCGTCGAAGGTCTTGCCGAAGGGGTGGCCCGCCAGGTGGAGCACATGGTAGAGAATGGCAGTTACTCCGAGGCCGCGTCCTTGCTGGTATTTGGCAGGACCCACGGTGAGAACAAGTGGCGCGTGGTGTATACGGGACTCGAGGACGGATGGGTGCGTCCTTTCAGTTTCGCTGGCTTCTATCATTCGCGCGATTCCGAGACACGTGCCTACGGCGATCTTGGGCCGCCCAAGGATGTAAAATGTTCTTCGCCCCAAAGGGGGGGATCTACACTTCTTGCAATCACAGTGCGCTGACGACTTCGCCTCTGGCCCCTTGGGCCGCAACGCGAAGCAGGGGGTGGTGTCCCTGTGATCCGCTCGCCGTGCCGGTCGCGCTCTGCGAGCCTTCCGCGAGGGGATGCCGCCGAGCGCAGGTCGCTGGATGGTGCAAGGCAGCTGCGATGTCGTTGGTCGAGGTTTGGCGACGGCCGAACGACAGGGCGCGACTTCGCTGGCGGGCACTGGCGGGGGCCTCAGGGGCCTGGACGAGGCTGTCGCATATGAGCATCCAGGGAGGGCGTTCTGGCGGTGCCGCCCCAGGCGAGGGCTCGTCGACTGCCTCTGGTGGCCGGTCGCGGTGGGGGCGGGGCAGGAGGTGGGGACCGACGAACCCCCCCCCCAGGTCTGCGGGAGAGCCCCCCCAGGTCCGCCAGGGATGTCCACCAACGAGACGACGTTTCGCGAAACGGATCATAGGTGTCCAAACCTTGGTAACGAAAGCGGGGCGTGAACGAAACTCTTTCCAAACGGCCAGGGGGTCACTTTGACTGCGCGGGTGGCGTTGGCGAGCGCCAAGGAGGCCACCTGACGCGCGTTGCTTTCCACTGCCTCCCTGGTGGTCGGCCATCGTGCTTCCTCTTTGCAGGATCACGACCACGCGGCTGCAAGAATACGACATAGCTTCTACGCGAAAGCAACATCTTCTTCGCACGAGCACGAACTTGGTTTTGCGCGAACGCGGAGCTAATACCGCACGAACAGGAACTTGTATAAGATTTGCTGCAAGAACTACGGCACGACATGCGACACGAAATGGCGCGCGAAATTGCTCGCACGATTCTTGTTGTACGAGTGTCTCAAGCGGTGGTGACGATGACTATAATGACGACAACGATGCTGATGATGATGCTGATGATGATGATGATGATGACGATGATGATGATGATGATGATGATGATGATGATGATGATGATGATGATGTCGATGATGCTGCTGATGATGACGACTCTGATGATGATTATGCTGATTCTGATGAGGACGACGACGATGACGATGGCGATGACGACGATGCTGATTACGAACATGATGTATCTGATGCTGCTGCTGCTGATGATGACGATGGTGATGCTGCTGCTGATGGTGATGATGACGCTGTTGATAATGATGATGATGATGATGATGATGATGATGATGATGATGATGATGATGATGATGATGATGATGATGATGAGGATGTGGAGGAGGAGGAGGACGCTGGCGAGGAGGGTGATGATGATGCTGATGCTGATGATGATGATGATGATGCTGATGATGATGATGATGTTGATGATGATGATGATGATGCTGATGACAATGGTGGTGATGACGAAGGCGACGACACTTATGATGATGCTGATGCTGATGGTGTTGATGATGCTGATGGTGATGATGATGGCGATGATGACGACTATGATGAGGCTGATACTGATTCTGGTGATCATGATGATCATGATACTGATTTTTGAGATGATGCTGCTAGTGATGATGCTGGTGATGTTGACGATGACGATGATAATGCTGATGGTGATGATGATGGTGATGATGACGAGGACGACGATGCTGATGATGATGATGGACAAGACGAGGAGGATGGTTATGGGGATGCTGCTGATTATGATGCTACTGCTGCTGATAGTGATGCTGATGATGATGGTGACCATGATGATGATGCTGATGATGCTGGCGATGATGCTGCTGTTGATGATGATTACAATGATGCTGCTGCTGCTGATGATTATGATGATGCTGGTGATGACGTCAGTGATACTGATGATTGTGCTGATGATGCTGATGATGGCGATGATTATGCAACTGCTATTGATGATGGCGCTGTTGATGAATGGTGGTGATGATGATGCTGATGCCGATGCTGATGCTGATGCTGATGCGGATTGATGCTGATGCTGATGCTGCTGCTGCTGATGCTGATGCTGCTTCTTCTGAGGATGACTATGACGATGACTGTGACGATGATGATGATGCTGCTGCTGATGATGATGGGATGATGATTATGATGCTGCTGCTGCTGATGATGGTGATGATTACGGAGGTGATGACGATGCTGCTGCTGATGGTGATGATGCTGCTGATGATGATGCTGCTGATATTGTTGATGATGATGGTGATGATGCTGATGCCGATGATGATGCTGCTGATGATGATGATGAGGATGATAATGATGCTGATGATTGAGACGCTGAGGACGGTGATGGTAATGGTGATGGTGATGGTGGTGATGATGATGCTGATGATGATGATGATGATGCTTCTGATGCTTCTGATGATGATGATGATGAGGAGGAGGAGGAGGAGGAGGAGGAGGAGGAGGAGGAGGAAGAGGAGGAGGAGGAGGAGGCGCAGCTGTTAGAGGGAGGAGGAGGAGGAGGAGGAGGAGGAGGCGGAGGAGGAGGAGGAGCAGGAGGGGAGGAGAGGAGGAGGAGGAGGAGGAGGAGGAGGAGGAGAGGAGGAGGAGGAGGAGGAGGAGGGAGGGAGGACGAGGAGGGTGAAGAGGAGGAGGAGGAGGAGGACGCGGAGGAGAAGGAGGAGGAGGAGGAGGAGGAGGAGGAGGACGAGGAGGACGAGGAGGGGGTGAAGTAGCAGGAGGAGGGGGAGGAGGAGGAGGAGAAGGACGAGGAGGGCGGAGAAGGAGGAGGAGGAGGAGGAGGAGGAGGAGGAGGAGGAGGAGGAGGAGCAGGAGGAGCAGGAGGATGGAGGAGGCGGAAGGGCTGGGGACGGCAGATCGGAAGAGAAGGAGGAGGAGGAGGAGGAGGAGGAGGAGGAGGAGGAGGAGGAGGAGGAGAGGAGGAGGAGGAGGAGGAGGGGAGGAGGAGGAGGAGTGATGAGGAGAGCAGGAGGAAGAGGAGGAGAGAGGAGGAAAGAGGAGGAGGAGGACGACAGAAAAGAAGATGAGAAGAGAAGAAGAAACTGAATGATACATGGAATACAGCATAAGAAGAGGAGGAGGTGGGGAGTAGAGGAGGAGGAGGAGGAGGAGGAGGAGGAGGAGGAGGAGGAGGGGAGGAGGGGGAGGAGGAAAGGGGGGGGTAGGTGGAGGAGGATGGAGGAGGGCATTGAGCGGCGAGCCCAGGCGGAAGCCCACACGCCGTCATAAACCTGGAGGACCAAGAAGCCCTGCCGAGCGCTCCCGGCGCCGCTCAGGGGGGTGAGGGCGAGGGAGTGTTGGAATTTCGTGAGGGGGTTATCACGCCCGAAGGGCAACGCTCGCTGGGAGCTGGACCCTGAGGGGTAACTAGGTGGCACCTCTCCAGGGTCCAACTCGATCGGATCGATACGACTCGGTATCGGCTGCGGCCAGCCGATCTGACTCGGTCCCGATCTCGTCCCACGATCCGCCTCGGCCCGATGCTCGCGTGGCGCTGTTGCAGACATCCTGGCGCAGCCGATCTCCGATTCTTCGTCGACTCCGTGCACTGGGGCGGCCCGATGCGGCGCACATTGCGGAGCCGATCCGGCTCCCCGAGTCGATGCTGATCGATCCTGCCTTCCCGTTTGCGCGGGCTCTGGAGAGCGGCACCGCACGCGCGGCTCCAGCCCCCCGGGAGAGGGAGGGCACCTGCCCGGCAGGGGCCCCTGGGCGGTGTCCGTGTTTCGGCGGCACGTGAGGGGGCCCTCTCCCCACTGGGGGGACGCGCGAGGCTCGCGTGTCGAAGACGAGGACACGTCATGAACATAACAACTTTCGGAACTTTCGGTGGGGGGGCAGGCACCGCCGATCCCAGAAGTCCGCGCGGAGCCCCGAGCGCATACAGTGAGCGGCTTGAGTAAGGAACACTAACTTTTCAAAAGGGGCTCCGTCGTTCCTTAGGCTTACATGCGTTATTCATCGTCCCGTATACGTTATTGATTAGTTATCGTTCTTTATGCGTTACTCCCTTGAGAAAAAAGGGGCTTCGTTCCTTCGTTCCTTAGGTGAAATCTGTTGTTTCGTGTTCTACTGCTTGGCGGAGCTCGGCTTCGCCGCCGCGTTGTGGCGGTCATGGCCCGCCTTCGAGGCGGCCCAGCTCTCGCGAGGTGCTGGCGGCAGCGGGAGCCCCGTCGCCAGAGTCCATGCTCAAGTCGGGCCCGCCCCTCTGCAGGAGGAGTATTCAAACACAGTAACAGAAACAGTCTGGGGACGATTTTTACATTTTTTTGTGTCCGTATTTTTGAATCTTTCATTATCCAATCGCTTCGCTCACTCCGCTGGCCCATATTGTAGCATCGCTGGCACTTGCTTGCGTGCTTGGGGGGGCATTTAGGGGCCTCTTGGGGCCGCTTGGGGGCCTCCTGAGGGCCTCGTGGGGGCATCTTAGGGCCTCTTGGGGGCCTCTAGGGGCCTCTTGGGAGCCTTTCGGGGGCCTCTTGGGCGCTCCTGGGGGCCTCTCGGGACCGAGGGCTCGAAATATCCGTGCTCGCGGGGGCGAAAGGAGGGGTGATCGATTGCGGCTCCCCCCTCGGAAGCCACGATCCTCGTGAGGGGTGTCGAAACATTGCCCTACCCTGGAGCTTTCTGGGGGACCTGGCCGGGGATCGCCCGGGGATCGGCCGGGGTACTTTTCGTCCGGGGACCCCCAGGGGCCGCCACGCCCGCGCGAAGTAGAATATTGTTAAACAGTTGCCGGAAATCTTAGCACGCCTCTGGCCCGTTGGGCCGGCGAATTTTTCGTCCAACACCCCCCTATAGGAGGACATGCCCGACCTAAGTCCATGCCCGGGCCCCGCCGCCAGTTTGCCAGCTGGCTTTGTGACTGTGGCCCTTCGTGGTTTCGGTCCTTGTCTCTCGGTCGGCCCCTCGGTCGGCTTCGTTCTGGGTCCTGGGTTCTGCCCCTCGTCCCTCTCGGTCCCCTTCTGGCCCCTCGCCGCTCGTCGGTTTTGCAGGGAGCTGAGGCTAGTCGTCAGCCCGCGTTTAAGTGTTGTTGTTGTTGTTGTGGTTGTTGTTGAACATTATTAATTCTAAAGAATAATTATTGTTGGGACCCCTGGTGCACGGCCCCCCTGCGCCGCCTAGGCCGCAGCTACATTTTCATCATTTTCGTGAGGAAGCCTCAGGTAATACGATGTCATCAAGATCCGGTTGTTTTGTTGTAATCCGTTTTCCCTTGCAAAAACACTATAAAATGACATTTCTTGTTCTAATATAATCAAATTTCAAGAATCCCTTGCAAAAAAGAAGGTAAAGTGGACATTCGCGCGCGCAAGACGAAATCCTTCCAAAAGCTTAGTGTTCGGAGCGATTTTAACATAAAAACATCAAAAAAACAATGGTTTTTTCAACAAAAAAATGTCAAAATCTCATCCCGCGCGCTCTTGCGGATTCGTAGGAAAACCAACACTTTTTAAACATTTCTGTCAAAAGGGCTTTTGCGAGCAACTTTTTCGAACTTCTGCGACAACGGTTGCGCACCTGCCAGGGCCATCATCCCTGTCAAATAATACCATGCGGGACACATTCGTTATTTCTTCGCGCGCGCACGCCGAAATCTCCAAAAACCATTGGGCTTCTTAAGAATTTTAGCACCGCGCATGTATCATATGCATCATATGCAACAGATGTTCTGTGGAAGGCTTAACAACTTCTGTGGGTTAACAAGGCTTAACAACTTCTGTGGGTGTACGAACGTAGGCTTAACAACTTCAGTGGGTGTGTACTCCACGCCAGTGTAGTAGCCACGGTCGTCCGCAGGCCACGAAGTGAAGTGTCCGAACGTCATAGGGCGGGAAGCTGGGTGTGGGTGGTGGCGAAGAGTCGTGTGGATATTTGGTAGAGCTTGCAATGCCCCCCCACAAAGTGGGGGTATTGGGGCGTAGCATGAAAACCTGGTGCACTGGTGAGAACACTGGAGCGTTTCGGGTAAAGGATTGTTACTGTTGGGTTACTGTTGTTGATGTTGTTGTTGTTGTTGTTGTTGTTGTTGTTGTTGTTGTTGTTGTTGTTGTTGTTGTTGTTGTTGTTGTTGTTATGTTGTTGTTGTTGTTGTTGTTGTTGTTGTTGTTGTTGTTGTTGTTGTTGAACTCTCATTCTTGAAGAATAATTATTGTTGATCCCCCCCACCGGTGCACATTGATTTTTTCGATTGAAGTGCCACCCCCGGGGCTCGCACCTTGTTTTTCTCAAGGAAAGTCTTCCTGCTCAAACTGTGCCCCTGCCCCCCGGGCTACAACAACAACGGCTCCCGCCTGAGACTTCCTCGATTTTTACTCAGGACCCCCGCTCCCGCCTGAGACTTCCGCGCGATTTACTCAGGAAAGGCGCTCCCGTCTATGACTTCCTCGCAATGTAATCAAGACCCCCGCTCCCGTCTGGTACTTCCGGCAATGTTACGTTGGGAAAAGGCGAGGCGCTTTTTTTTTTTCTTTTTTCTTTTTTTTTTTTTTTTCCTTTCTTATTTCCATTTTTTTTTTTTTTTTTTTTTTTTTTTTTCTTTTTTGTCTTTTTCTCGCATGGACTTTTTCGAATTTTATTCAGGACCCCCGCTCCTGCCTGACATTTCCGCGCAATTGACTCAGGAACGGCGCTCCCGCCTGAGACTTCCTCGCAATTTAGTGAGGACCCCCGCTCCCGCCTAAGACTTCCGTGCAATTTGCTCAGGAACGGCGCTCCCGCTTGAGACTTCCTCGCAACTTAGTCAGGGCCCCCGCTCCCGCCCGAGATTTCCTCACAATGTACTCAGGACTGCGCTCTCGCGTGCGACGTCCTCACAAATAATTCTGGAATTGCGTTTCGGCGCTCAGGAACCACGCGCGCGCCAAGGACGCCTTCACAACGTGGTATCTTCCCTCTTCCTTCGTCCTTCCCCCTCACCTTCCTCCCACTCTCCCTCGTTCTTCCCCCCCTCCTCTTGCAGGGCCCGCGCCAATTCCAATGGCGGGCAGAGAGATGCACGCCCCCGAAGGATTGTCCGCCCGTTCCGGTTTGCCCGTACGTCTAAGCCCGCCGGCCCCAGCAAAGAGAAATAATCCCCCCGAAAGGGGTGTGATCGAAGACGAAGAAGGCGGGCATCGAGGGTGTAGGGTATACGGGTTGAATGACTCGCGGGCAAGTAAGAGCGCACAGCCTTAAAATGGTTGTTGTTGTTGTTGTTGTTGTTGTTGTTGTTGTTGTTGTTGTTGTTGTTGAACTCTCATTTCTGAAGAATAATTATTGTTGACACCCCCCGTCTGGTGCATTTTTTTTTATGATTGAAGTGCCCTTCCCGGGGCTCGCACCTTGTTTTTTATGAGGGAAAGTCTTGAGGGTCAAACTGTGTCGTTGGCCCTCGGTTTACGACAACAACGGCTCCCGCCTGAGACTTCCTCAAAATTTAGCCAGGATCCCCGCTTCCGCCCGAGACTTCCTCGCGTTTTATTCAGGACTCGCGACTTGTTTCTTTTCTTTTTCTTTATTTTGTTTTGTTTTATCTTTTTTTGGCGTTTTTGTGTTTAGTTTTTTTTTTTTTTTCGCCCCTTTTCTTTATTTTATTTTTTTTTTTTCTACCCTATCTATACCTTTCATGTTTTTTTTTATTTTTTTTTTTTTTTTTTTTGTTTTTTTTCCCGTTGGGACTTCCTCAGAATATATTGTTTCAGGCGCTATGGAGCCCCCCGCCCCCCCCCCCCGCTCTCGCTGGAGACTTGCTTGCAATTTACTGAAGAATCGCGCCCTTGCGTTGGAATTTCATACAATTTCCTCAAGCGCCGCGCTCCCGACACCCAGGCACCCAGGAGTCGCGCTCACGCTTAGGACTCCCTCACAGATTACATAGGAATCGGGATCTCGCTGCCCTTCGTGGCCCCGTTGCAGCCCTTCGTGGCCCCCTCCTTTTGTTTCGTGGTGACGTTGCAGCCCTTCGTGGCCCCCTCGCTGCCCTTCGTGGCCCCGTTGCAGCCCCTCGTGGCCTCCTCGCAGCCCTTCGTGACCCCGTTGCCGCCCTTCGTGGCCCCCTCGCTGCCCTTCGTGGCCCCGTTGCATCCCTTTGTGGCCCCCTCGCTGCCCTTCGTGGCCCCATATATGTATGCCCTTCGTGGCCCCCGCTCGTTCGCGCCCGTGGTGGCCCCATATCCATATGTCCTACGTGGCCCAGTTGCTACCCTCAGTGGCCCCATCGTTGCCTTCTGTGGCCCCGCATTATCTGCCCTTCGTGGCCCCCGCTCGTTCGCGCTCTTCGTGGCCCCGTACGCATTCCCTCCGTGGCCTACTTCGTGTCCTTGTGGCCCTGCTGTCGTTCTCTTTCGCTCTCGCTTTCTCTCGTCGCCGTCATCGTCGACGTCGTCGTCGTCGCCGTCGTCGTCGACATCGTCGTCCCCTGTCCGTCCCTCTTGGGGTCGGGTCGACGGTCCGCGGCCGCCCCGCCGATCAGCGCTGCCGCTGGCCAGGCCGACGGTCCGCGGCCGCCCCGCCGCTTGCCGAGGCCGGGCCTGCAGGGAAGAAAGGTATACCCCCGAAAAGGGAATCGATCGAAGACGAAGAGGGCGGGTATCGAGGGTTTGGGAAATATGCGTTATTGGACACTCGAGCGGATAAGGGCGAACACAGTCTTAAAGTGATTGTTGTTGTAGCTGCTGCTGTTGTTTGTTATTTGTATGTTTGAGTTTTCCGTTGAATATTTTTAGTTCTCGTCCAAACTCCCTTGTAGGAGGGCATGCCCGACCTAAGCCCATGCCCGGCCGTGCCACTTCGACGGCGGCTCGCCGGGCGGGCGTTTGAATGTTTTTCGCGGTTTCGCCTCATCGCCCTTCCGACGCCCCAAGACGGCCCAAGAGGCCCCAGAGATCGCCCCAAGACGGCCCAAGAGGCCCCGAGACAGCGCTCAGAAGGCCCAAGGCGCCCCCAGCACGACCCAGGAGGCTTCCAAGACAGCTCAAGACGGCCCCGGGAACGCCCCAGGAGGCTCGGGCGGAGGCGGCTCCCCCTCCCTCCCCCCGCGCGCTTCGGGGCCCGGGCCCCCCTCTGCCGCCACCGCGCGCCGCGTGCGGCCAGGTTCGAGCCGATCCTATGCTTCAGGTCGGGCCTGTCCCTCTACAGGAGGAAACGTCAAACGTAGGTAAAAATTAATAGGGGGACGATTTTCCTGTTATTTGTTCGACCATTTTAGAATATGTTTTGGAGTATTCTTCATGTTCCGTCCAAAAGCTCCGCCTGTAGGAGGGGACATGCCCGACCTAGTCCTTTGCCCGAATCTTGACTTCGATGTCGATCCGACCCGATCCTAATCACCCCTCGGTGCAGCTTGCGCGTCTTTCAATTCCAGTGCTCCTGGGGCTCGCACTTTTCTTATCAGGGAAAATCTTCGTGCTCAAACTGCGCTGTTGCGCAACATAACTACAACAACGACGGCCCCCGCCAGAGACTTCCTCGGAGTTTACTCCAAAATCGCGCTCTCGCGCGGGACGTTCTCACAATTTACACAGGAATCGCGCTCTCGCGTGGGACCTCGTCAGAAGTTGGTCAGACGCCGCACCCTCGACACTCAGGAATCGCGCTTTCGCTCTGGATTTTCTCACGACTTACTCGGGAATCGCGCGATCTCTTTGATCTCTTTGCGATTAATGCAGGGCTCACGCTTCAGCAGCCTGCCGCCGCGACGCGCTAAGCAAAAGTTCCTGACCGCATGGGCGCTGACCAACACATCGGTCGATCGAGATGCTTGGCGTCGCTCGGCCGCGTGGATTCTTGGTCGAAAATCATATTGCGAAAAAATACGAACAAATCTTGCGAAACAAATGCGCGAACAAAAATCTTGCGAACAAATTCGCGCGCGAACATCCTGGATCATCTTGCGAACAAAAATGCGTGCGCGACATCGACGAGTGTACGGGGAATGGCCGCCCGAGCGATGGCAGGCGCCGCGGCAGCCCTGGCCAGGCCTGGGGCCCGGGAGGTGCCCCAGGACCTGGTGCTGCCCGCACTGCTTGATCCTGCGGACGAGCAGCGCCGGCGTCGAGCACGTCGCCCCGAGCGCAAGCACGTGGGGCGCTCCAGAAAGGGCCTCGCCTCCGAGGAGAGGAGGAGGGAGGAGGAGGAGGAGGAGGAGGAGGAGGAGGAGGAGGAGGAGGAGGAGGAGGAGGAGGAGGAGGAGGAGAGGAGGAGGAGGAGGAGGAGGAGGAGGAGGAGGAGGAGGAGGAGGAGGGAGGAGGAGGAGGTAGGGGAGGAGGAGGTAGGAGGAGGAGGAGGAGGAGGAGGAGAGGAGGAGGAGGAAGGGGAAGGAGGAGGAGGAGGAGGAGGAGGAGGAGGAGGAGGGGGAGGAGGGGGGGAGGAAGAGAGGAGGAGGGAGGAGGAGGAGGAGGGAGGAGGAGGAGGAGGAGGAGGAGGAGGAGGAGGAGGAGGAGGAGGAGGAGGAGGAGGAGGAGTTGCCATCTCTTCCGCGGCGGAAGGCGGCGGAAGGACGGCGGAAGGCCCGCGGAAGTGAGACGAGGCCGCCTCCGCTGGCAGAAGCTGGCGTAAGCTCGGCGGACGCCGGCGCAAGTAAAAAATGCGCCCCAAGAGATGAAGACGTTTTTGGGTTCTGGGTTTCCGAGATCGCCCACATGTTGCTCCAGGTCGAGGTGCAACGTTCGTCGCGCGACCCTTCGAGACGGAGCGCGCCTCCTGTGATCCTCGGGTTCTGCCAAATGGTGGATGCGTGTGCCCTGGGCCGCATGCGTCGGGATAGTCCCCTCGAGGGGCAGCCGACTTCCCTTAGGTCTTGGACCAGTCTCTCCTCGTTCCCTGCTCATGACCGTCCGTCCCCTCCCGCGTCGCCGAAAGACGCCTCCGTGCCGATCTGGAGGCCCTCGGCGGTCGCGGGACAAGCCCTCGGGGTGCTGCTGAGGACAACCTTGGAGTCTCCATGAACTTCTTGGACCTCAAGACGCTGCCCTCCTTCGCGAAGAACTGCGGCAGCGCGCCCCCGACGCGCTGCGCGCGCCGCCGCCGCCGCTCTCTTGGGTTGTGGAAATCGATTCATGGAGAGGAAGCATGCTGCCAAATACTTTCCAGGTGTCTAAAACATGTATCAAACATGTTTTGAATATGTAGAACATGTCTGAAACATGTTGAGAACATGTTTGACGCATTTTAAACACATGTTTAACTCAATGATAGGATTGTTCGAGTGTCCATTGTCATGACATCCACAACTCTTGGGGGCGAGCGGGGACCAGTGTGCATCGCGTCCGTTCGCCTTCCCGTCCCAACCGCCTGTGACCTGAGAGCACTCGAGGAAGGACGAGGGGGAGGACGAGGAGGTGCAGAGGCGAGGAGGAGGAGGAGGAAGGAGGAGGAGGAGAAGGTGGAGGAGGAAGGAGGAGGAGGAGAAGGTGGAGGAGGAGGACGAGGAGCAGGACGAGCAGGAAGAGGAGGAGGAGGAGGAGGAGGAGGAGGAGGAGGAGCAGTAGCAGGAGCAGGAGCGCAGGAGCAGGAGCAGGAGCAGGAGGAGGAGGAGGAGGAGGAGGAGGAGGAGAAGGAGGAGGAGGAGGAGGAGGAGCACGGCCAGCAGAGAGGCCAGAGGCCTCTTGAATGCTGCTGGGTGTCTTATGAGAGCTTTTTGAAGTACTCTCGGGGCGTCTTGGGGGCTTCTTGGCGGTCCGTGGGGCCCCCTGGAGCGTCTTGGGTGCCTAGGGGAAGCCTCTTGGCGCCAGTTGGTGGTCTCTTGGGGGCCTCTTGGGAACCTCTTGGAGGCCTCTTCGGGCCTCCCGGGCGCTTCTGGGGGCCCTCTTGGGGCACTCTTGGGAGCCTTGGGGCCAGCTTGGGGCCACCTTGGATGACATCGATGAAAGAAGAGGGCCCCCTAATCTGCGTTGCCCCCCTGGATGTCAAACTTGGCCACGAACTTTTGTATTTTTGCCTTCTCGCCAACGTCGGCCTTCTTGGACGCTCCAGTGGGTCGCGCCCCCCCCCTCTAGACCCAGGGGGAGGGGGTACGTAGGGGGAAGGATCAAGACACCCTCCTCGCCCGCAAGTTGTCTCGCTCACTCCGACCCTCCCTCCCAACATAGTTTAGTAGCACATGGGCCTCAGCATGTTCAGAGGTCCTCTTTGGATGGCCAGCTCCTGGGAACCAAACCAGACCCCATGAGGGCGGCTGTGGGCGAGATGCGACACGCGTGCCGGGCGCTCTAGGCGCGCCAGGTGCGCCAGGCACAAATGGGCCCAAGCGTGCCAGGCACGCCGGGTGCGCCAGATGCGCCACCGTGCTTCACGTGCGCCATGTGTGCCGCATGCTCCAGCCTCGCCAGGTGCGCCACAGTCGGGGCACGCGCAGAGTGTGCCAGGTGCGCCCGTGCACTTGACGGTGCACATCGGGAAACATGTCGGCCCCCACCATCCTTGTCGAAGACTGATGCGCAATCGCGGCGGGGACGGCAGGCAATATGCCAGCACCCCCGCCGTTGACAGGGATAGTGGCCTTGCGCGCAGCAGGCAATATGCGGGCATTCCCGCTGTCCCTGTTAAACAAGAATATGAAGTGCTCTCGGGGCCCATGAGCATGACCCAAGATTTTGCCCCAATTTGTGCTTTGCATAGTTTTTGTCAGGGATGGTGGGGGGGTCGGCATGGGTCCTGGTTGGCTGCCAGTCGCCTGGGATAAGGGGTGTCTTTTAATAGGGAACAGTGATCAAGTTCCCAGCGAGAACGCCGTAAGCTGTCTCACTCACTCCCGCCCGCCCTCCCATTATAGAAGTATCACCGGAGTCTCAGCACAGGCAGGGGTCGCCAGCGACAGCTGTCGGGAACCAATGCAGGCGCGAGCTCGCGAGGTGCGTCGCACACGCCAGGTGCGCCAGGCGCACCAGGCGCACCACATTGGGCAATATGTCTACCCCCAGCATCCCTGTCAAAAGCCAATGCGCAGTGAGGGCGGGGGTGCCAGCATTGTATATGTATATATGTATATATGTATACACGTATGTGTACATATATACATCCATATCTATATATGTATATCGGTGTGTGTGTGTGTGTGAGTGTGTGTGTGTGTGCGTGTGTGTGCGTGTGTGTGTGTGTGTGTGTATGTGCACGCGCAATCGCTTTGCATGTGTTTTGACAGGGATGGTGGGACTCCACACAGCAGGCAATGTGGAGGCCCCTCCGCCGTCCCTGGCAAGGACGCATGCAAAGTGATCGCGGTGCGCCCGCGCGTGATCCCGATTTTGGTGCAAAGTGCATTGTTGATTTTTGATTTACAAGACGTAATGGGCGTGTGTGTGTGCGTATGTGTGTGAGTGTGTTTTGGCGCTGCACACAGCCGGTAACATGCCGGCCCGCCCGCCGTCCCTGTCAAGCAACTATATTACATGCTGGCGGGGCACGCGAGCTCCACCCAATTTTATGCCCCAAAGTGTGCTTTGTATTGTTTTTTTTTGTCAGGGGTGGCGAGGGTGTGTTGGCATTGCACAAAGCAGGCAGTTTGTCGACTCGTCCACCATCCGTGCCAAAGGCCAATGCACGCAGATCGCGGGGCGTCCGCGCATGATTCAGATTTTGGTGCAACGTGCACGTCGTATTGTTCTTTGCAAGGGATGGTAGGGGGATGTTGCCATGGCACAGCAGGCCACCTGTCGACCCCCCCACCGTTCCTGCCCAAAGCCAATGCAAAGAGATCGCGGGGCGTCCGCGCATGATTTTGGTTTTGGTACAAGGTGCACTCTGCATCGTTTCTTGGCGGGGATGGTGGGCGGGCGAGTCGGCAGTGCCCCTGGTTTGTCGACGGCCTGGTGAGGGACGGGGTGCCTATGAGCAAGGAACAGTGCTAAAACCTTCCCGCACGGGAAGATGGGGGGTTGGAGGAGGCAACGCGCGAAGCCCCTCACGCCCAGAGGGCCGGTGGGACTCCCTCAAAAGGTCGGCTCCTGGAGCCCCCCGCAGAGGCCATCCCGGCCAGCTCTCCACAAGCGGCACGCGCCCAGCCTTGGCGACGAGGGCCTCCAGAGAGAAGTTTCGAAGACCTCCTCCTCCTCCTCCTCCTCCTTCTCCTCTTGCTCCTCCTCCTCCCCCTCTCCTCCTCCTCCTCCTCCTCCTCCTCCTCTTCCTCCTCCTCCTCCTCCAAGAAACCGGTGCGCGCGGGGCCCTCGAAGTTTCAGGTACGCCCCCGAGAACCTTCGACCGCCCTCGAAGACTGCAGGGCACCTCCGAGAATCTCGGCAACGAGAGGCGATCCCAGACTTCCCGCGTCGTTAGTTTCGCGCGCCGTGGGCCCCCCCGAGGTCTGGATCCATCTTCCCTGGGACCACCGTTCTATCCTGTGTCGTGTTTCGGCACCTCCGGGGCCTGCTGAGGGTCCCCCGAGGCCGAACAGGGCTAGAGACCCGATGCCGCGATTTGTTCGCGACGCGGAGGGGTCTGGGACGATCGCCCTCAAAAATCCGAAACAACGACGACGACGCCGCCGTCGTCGCTGTCGGCGTTATCGTCGGGTGACGTCGCCGTCGCCGTCGCCGTCGCCGTCGCCGCCGCCGCCGCCGCCGCCGCCGCCGCCGCCGTGGCCGCCGCCGCCGCCGCCGCCACCGTCGTCGTCGTCGTCGTCGTCGCCGTCGGCGCCGCTGGCGTCCTCGTCGGGTGGCGCCGCCGTCGTCGGCGTCGGGTGGCGTCGCCGGCGGCGGCGGCGTCCTCGTCGAGTGGCGCCGCCGTCGTCGGCGGCGCCGTCGCTGTCGGCGGCGGCGCCCTCGTCGGGTGGCGCCGCCGTCGCCGGCGGCGGCGTCGCCGGCGGCGGCGGCGTCGTTGGCGTCGCCGTCGCCGTCGCCGGCGGCGGCATCGTCTCTGGCCGCCGTAGCCGTCGGCGTCGCAGTCGCCGCCCTGGCCCCGCCCCACCGCCGGCGCGAGGGCCGGGCTCTCCGCTCTGCGGCATCATCTCCGGGAAGGGCGACCGGGTGATCGAGGAGCTCGAGGCCCTCCGCCCCAGTCAGGAAGGCAGTTGTGCCCAGACGTGCTCGCGTCGCACGAAGGTGAGGGCGGGAGGTTTTCCGCTGTTTTCGGCCTCCAGGGTCCCTCGCCGGGCTCCGGGGCCGCCGAGAAACGACCCAGGATGAAGAACCGGTCCTGGGGAATGGGTCGAGACTTCCGGGGACCCCGTATTGAAAAATCACGACATCGGATCTCTGGGTCCCCAGTCAGGCAGACATGTATCGGGGTGGGAGGATGGATGGCCGGCGCCTTCTCAGAAGCAGGGGTCCATCTAAGTCGGGAAGAACTATCAGGTTGGGGGGAAGGGGCTGAGAGAGGTGAGGATATCCTTGCCCGCAGGCGGCCGAAGGTATCGTGCATGGCATCCGGATGCTATTGCTCATACCTTTCCTCTTCCCAAACCCCTTCCTCCCAACGCGATAATTCCGACGACGAGCGAAGGGGGGAAATGAGACGGGGCGGGCCTTCTCAGTGAGAAGTTTTCAGAGCCTTCCCCGAAGACGCAGAAAACCTCTCAGAAGGCAGCAGGGCTTCTGAGCAGTGCCGCCGCCTTCTGAGGAGGCCGTCGCCTTCTCCCTTCCCCCTCGCTCGCCGCCAAGAACCGGTCGCCTCACCCAGCTGGGGCGCTCCAGAAAGGGCCTCGATGCTGGCGCCGCGACAAACAAGAAAACATCCAGGCAGGATGAAGTCGGGCGTGCCCCTCTCCCTAGAGGAGGGATGTTCAAGCATAGTAAACATAGTCTGGGGATGATGTTTTGGATATTATGGATGATGTTTGAATATTGATGGATTTGTTGTGGGTATTTTTTCCTCCAACATCCGCCTGTAGGATAATGCTGTTCCAGTCTATTTTAGCCTGGGCAACCAGAAAGAATTTCGAGCACCAGAAAAGTATCCCACAACTCAAGGGTTTTTACGTTTCGGACCCTGGGAGACTCCCCCGACACTGTTTCGACGCTGTTTCGGCACTCTTTCGACACTGTTCCGGGCGCTCGAAATTATTTTTGGGATGTGGCCTTTAACCGAGCATTTTCTTTGGGTGGAGGGCGAAGGGTGAAATCTGAAATGCCGTTTCTATGCATTTTCGAGGGAATTTGCAAAAGGTGAACCGCAAGACGGACTGCTCTTCGAGGTGCGGAGGCCCATCTGGATTTCACCTGGAGCCCTCCCCCCCAAGAACATGCTCAGTGCCAGCACGATGGGAGCAACATAGCCGTAGGAGGACCTGCCCGACCCGAGAGGCAGGAGGTTCTTTCGCCCAGGCTCGGCCTCCGGGGGGGCCCCCCGCGGGGGGGCCCCCGCGGGCTCTCGGACGCCGGCGCGGGAGGGCCGACTCGGGCCCGGGGGAGAGGGGCCGTGGGCACTCCCGGGGGCCATGGGGGCCCCCAGCGGGGTGGTGGACACACCGTCCTGGCTCGCCTATAGCCCTACCAAGCAACGTTCTAAGAGCCTTTTGTGGTTTCCACGAGATGTTCTCAGAACATTTCTGGCGGAGCCTGTCTTGTTTTATCACATCAAGTTCATGTTCTAAGGACATTGTTTTTGCTCTAAGAACATTTCTGGGTTCTCAGAACATTTCGTGGTAGGACTACAGGAATGCCTGGACGGTCGGCCCCTGTTCAACGGTGGGGATTCGGGGTCACCGCACGGTTTTGGGACTCGGGTCGTTCTCCGAAGATGTCTCGGGCGGCAGGGGCCTCCGGGGTCCCAAGACCGTGCGGTGACGGACCGTGCGGCGAGGGCTCCGGGGGGTTCCGTGGTCACCGCGCGGTCTGTCACCGCACCGTTTCGGGACTCCAGATCCTGGGGGCCGCGCGCGGAGGAGAGCAAGACGTCAGTCGGGCGTGTCCCTTCACAGGCGGAGTATCCGAGGCGGGAATTTAATGCACGACCACCGCCTGGAGTGTCAGTTTTCCGAGCCTCGGCAGGCGGTGGATATGGACATGTTCGGGCCCCCGGGGGCCGAAATGTATCCACATGCACCGCCCGCTGGGGCACCAGGACGTGGGTTCCCAGGCGGTGGATATGGATAAAGCCCCGCCTCGCAGAGTATGCAAAAATAGCCAAAGCATAGTCTGGGGACGATTCTTTTAGTAGTTTCGCCTATGTTTGAGCATCTTGGGGTGTGTTTTAGTCTTCCTTCGAAATCCGCCTGTAGGGGGACATGCCCGACCTAAAGCAAGACATCGGAGCCGGATTTGGTTGGGTGGGGTTTGGAGCGTTCGTTATTGAGTGGCTGGATGGGTGTGCTGGGGTCTAGACAAACGGGCGACGCAAGAAAATGGGGTCGTCTGCGCCGACATTGGCGCGTAAGTTGCCCGCGTAAGGTCTCGTGTGAGCGCCCTCGTCTCCAAAGTATCGTTCCGCGCTGGTGGCCCGCGTAAGCCACCGCGTAAGGTCGCTGTGCCATCGCGCGTAAGACCCGCTTTTCATGGCACCCCGCCCCTATCAGCCGAAAAGGCAGGCGACCACAACAAATCTGTCAGCGAAAACGTCCCCGAAGTTGTGACCGAAAATGTCATGTGGCCGAACATTGACCGAAAAGTTGAAGATCGCCTCGGCTCCGAACCAAACGTCTCGGTCACACCCGGGCGCGGTAGGACACCTTCGGGCGCAAGCCTCGGCCCCACCCTGGGCAGAGCTTCGGGCGCCGCTTGGGTCACGACGCTTCCCCGATCGAGGCGAGGCCACGTGCCGCTTTTGAGCGCCGCCCGCGCGCCTGGCCGTGGGGGCCTTGTGGGCGCCCCGCCCGCTGCTTCGCCGCGTGCCTGGCCGCGGCCGCGGGGCCCCGGGCGCGCTGGCGGGGTGGGCCGGGCGGTCTGCCGCGGGCACCGCTCGCGGGCACCTCGTGGGCGTCCCGCGCGCTGGCCGGGTGGGCACGGAGGAGGAGGAGGAGGAGGAGGAGGAGGAGGAGGAGGAGGAGGAGGAGGGAGGAGGAGGCAGGAGGAGGAGGAGGAGGAGGAGGGAAGGAGGAAGGAGGAGGAGGAGGAGGAGGAGGAGGAGGAGGAGGAGGAGGGAGGAGAGGAGGAGAGGAGGAGGAGGAGAGGAGGAGGAGGAGGAGGAGGAGAGGGAGGAGGAGGAGGAGGAGGAGGAGGAGGAGGAGGAGGAGGAGGAGGAGGAGGAGGTGGGCGGGCATCTGGCGGGCGTGTGGCGCGTGGGGCATCCCGTGGCGCGTGTCGGTGCGACGGGGCGCCCGCGGGGCCGTGGGTGGCGGCAGCTTCGCTCAGCTGGAGGCGATTCCGCGCGGGTCTCCGGGATGTGGCGCCCTGTGCGTTGGCCGCGCGCGCGAAATGTCTTTCAAAGGGTGCCTGGGCGCCCCGGCTCTCTTCCCAGCGCCTTCAGCACCGGGTGGGCCTGGGTTTCGCCAGGTTCCCGCACGTGGGCGCCTCGTGGGCGCCATGTGATTGCACCACAGCTTCCACCACAGTATTCACCACGCAGATTGTCACCTTTTTGGAGGAGAACCGTCTCCACCACCCTCTACCCCCCAGACCCCAGACCTTATCGACACCCCTTGGGGCAGTGTGAATTAAATCAGATGTTGCTCGTCGTTCGTTGTCCGTACGTACTTTTATCATCCCAGGCAGGCCCAGCATCGCCCCCCTCATCCCTGTCAAACAATACTGTGTGCGCGCACTCGCTTATCGCAAGAAGGTGTTTTACGACGAGTCCCTGGGACACGATACACAACGTCCACGCGCGTGCGCACGTCGAAATCGGACCCGATTCAGCAATTTCGCCAGCAAGCGCCGTAACTACATCGAACATCCTCAAGTTTTACACAGCACATATTGAACACTTTCTGCCCGCGCGCATCTGCTGAAGTCGCAGAGCATCCGTATGATTTTAGCGCTCTCGCCCAAAGCCCGCATTCTCATCGCACCACGCGGCGCATCCGCGTTGATCCAGCATGCGCCCAGCACGCGAATCCGTATCAAAGCATACCATGCGGGCCACACGTTCGGGCCGCCACGCGAGCGTGTCGAAATCAGCCAAGCACAACTCATTTTTCGAAGCATTTCAAAGTAGAGCTCTTCAAGCGCGCATGGACAATCCTATGTGATGACACAACGAGTTGGTCGGGGTTCTTGGATTTCCACGCGCGCACTTCTTCACCATCGCCCTCACCAGCTCCGCCGCTTCACGTCATCGTCATCGGCAATAGCCACAAATGCCCGTATCAGCAGCCAAACATTTTCATCATCGGCACATTGACATTACCACCAATCATCAGCATCACCATCACCATTACCATCACCATCATCCTCATCATCATCAGCAGCAGCAACATCATCATCATCATCATCATCATCATCATCATCATCATCATCATCATCATCATCATCATCATCATCATCATCATCATCATCATCATCGTCATTGGCGTTACCAGTATCGGCGCCGTCATTGGCCGTGCCGCCGTCATCGCCATCATCGCTACCGCCATCGCTGCTATCATCATGGTTGCCGCCGTTGTCGACGCCATCACGATGCCGCGCCCGCTCGCGCCACCGACCCGCATTGAAGTCCTCGCGCGTCAGCGTGGCCTTTGACACGCGCTGGGACGTTGCCATCGGTACTCGCCATCGCGGTTGTATCGGTTGTGCCAAACCAGCTGGCTCGTGTGCGCGCGAGTTTGCGCGCGCCAGCGCGGTCGCAGAGATGCGCCAGCCACTGCCAAGCATTCAACGCCATCGTCGCCGCATGGGTTTTGCAAATCATGTTGCGGGTGGGAGGGAGGGCTGCTTGCGCGAGCAGTAGGGTCGACAACTCGTGCGATGGCAACATATACCCGACGCGGATACCCCCATATGTGCAGCCCATGTTGCGGGCACATTTCGCTTTGAGACACGGCTCTTTTTCAATATCCGAGTGTCAGCGAACCCATGTTGAAGACGAAGGCGAGAGAGACGCCGACGATTACGACGACTTCAGTTTTTTCCTCCTCCCTTCCTCCTCCTCCTCCTCCTCCTCCGCCTCCTCCTCCTCCTCCTTGTCTTCTTCCTTTTTTTTCTGGATAATCCATCAGTGGAAATTGAATGGGATCTGCATGTCATGGTCGTGTGTGTGGTCCTTGCATATGTCAGTCTTCAAGATTCTGGGAATTTTTAATCTCGTGTAGGGGAAGGTGTCGCCCATACGGTGCGGCATGTGCACAGTACAATCGTTGGTCTGATCGTGTGCGTCGATGGTATGAGTGGAACTGCAGAGTGGTTGGGACAGCTTAGGATGGTTGTGGGTTCGCGTGATTATATCGTTGGTGTTCATTTTGGATTGGCTGGAGTTGGTGCGACTAGCTCGAACTCGGTCGGTGGCATGTTGCGGTGGGGGGGGCTGCCTCACAGCGTCCTCTTCGTTGGTTTGAGTTCCTGTGTGATGTAGTCGGGGTCCGTGTGTGCCTCGTCGTACCGAGGCTGCTCGTAAGTTGTAAGCGGTGTGATGTGTTGGTGCGTTCTGCCAAAGGTGCCTCCTCCTTCCTCCTCCTTCTCCGTTTGCTCCTCCCCGAACACTGCACGCCATGCTGCGTGGTGTATGTGGGTCCTGGTTAGATCAGATGCGCCCGCATGGTCCAGACCAGAATGTTTTTTTTTCCCCACCCTCGCCCAAAGCACGGGCTCAAGCCGCAAGCGCGACGCCTCGAAGCCGGATTTTTCAGCCCACCAGGCAGATCTCAAAGCCATGGCGGTGGTGGACTCCGCAAGCCGCCCGGCGCCCGAGTTCCTGAAGCGGATGGCACAGGCGAACCAGAACATCATCTGTACAGCGAGGGGCGACGACGTGCGCAAGGTGGACGTTGCCCACCTGCTGAGCCGCGGGCTGAGGATACCGATCTTCCAGCGGCGCTACTGCTGGGCGGGCGACAACTGGAGGACGCTGCTCGACGACGCGCGCCTGGTCGCCTCGGGCCGCAAGGACCCTGGACGGGGCGCTCCGGTCAGGGCCTTGCGCTTGGCTCGTCGTTCCTTCGGCGGAAGCGGGCGGAAGGCCAGCGGAAGCCGGCGGACGTAAAACGTGAGTCGCTTCGCTCGTTTACCTGTACCTCTTGGGGCCCCGACCCGGCAGGACGTGATTTCGCGCCGAGGCGACTGTTCAGAGTGTCCCATGGGGCCCACCACGTAGCTTCCAGCGACAAGAGTGCGTAGTGATCACAAAAGGAAGTAAAACGGGCGCTCGGGGGCGGGGCTGAGGCACGAAGATGCCCACCCGCCCGTTTTTGGTCTGCGTCGGGCTTCTGGTTTAGCACGGTGCTCGTACCAGCGCCGTCCGCACGGTGGTGTGGAGCCCCACGCGAGGACCTCCTGCGCCGAATGCTCACTGGGGGCAGTACGCGTAGAGTGCGCGTCGTCCGAAGTGAGACGGCGGCGGGTCCGCCGGCGGAAGGCCTGCGGAGGGCGGCGGGTGCAGAAGCGAGGCGTCAGAAGTTCAGAGTTTCAGGCGTCGTTTCTGGGTTCGGGGCTTCTGGAGCCGAGGGAGCTGGGACTGTGTGTGTATTTGTGCGACATCTGCTTCGCCGCAGCCCCCTGACTCGTATGGCGCTCTCAGGCCCGTGCTTTTTCAGCAGTGCGCGCGCCACCGTTTCTTGCCCCTGCCTGGGTCTCGTCAGGACTGGAGTGAAGAGGGCAGCGGCATGCGAGCACAACAGCGAGCTAAGAACGGCATACGATCAACTTTTCCGCCGTCGGGGACGCCTGCCCCTGGGCGGCTGGAAAGTTTATACCCCTACGGTTCCACCGTAAGCGCATAAACTTTCCAGCCGCCCTGGGACAGGCGCCCCCGACAGCGAACAAGTTGATTCTATACCGCCTTGCGCCCGTTAAACACAGCAAGGGCACACGACACACTGCTGCGCACCAGTGCTGTGGCAAACAGGCACACGCGTGCATGCATGCGGCGTGCAGCCGCCGCCCCCTGCAATTATTGGACGACGGCTGCTTCCGCCGCCGTGCTTTCGTCGTACGCAGGCGGCAGGGAGGGGCGGACAAGTCTTGCCCCCTACCCCCCCCTCCTCCTCCTCCTCCTCCTCCTCCTCCTCCTCCTCCTCCTCCTCCTCCTCCTCCTCCTCCTCCTCCTCCTCCTCCTCCTTCCTTCTCCTCCTCCTCCTCTTTCTCCTCCTCCTCCTCCTCCTCCCTGTGGCAGTGGCACGGACGGGCGAACATAGACATGAAAACCCAGGGCCCACCCTTAATCCCAGCCCTACCCCTGGGAAAGGTTCTCAGGATCATGTGCGTCTGCAGCGCTGGCGAAAGACGTTCTCGTCGACTGCCCAGGCCGCTACGAAGCGACACTGCGCGCCGAAGGCTACCTGCAGTAAGCTCGCATGCCTATGCAGCTCACCGAATATAGCCTTCACCGACCCCATCGTGCTTCACCGCAGCCACAGCTGGTTTCTGTCTCCCCGCCGGGCACTTTCCTCGAGACACGGCCGCCCCTGGCGCCAAGTCAGGCAGGCCTAGGATGAGGATATTTCGCCCCAGAGCAATCTGGAACGCTTTCAGAGAGAGTTCCAGATCGCTCTGCGACGGCTGCAGCGCCCGATGCATTCCCCAGACCCGCTGATCTTCAGAGGTTCCTGGTTTTTGTTGCTTATCTGGATCTACGATCATCCTACTTTTGTCTTGCCAGGAGGCGATGGGAAGAAGCACGTGCGTGCAGCTGATTCGCCAGATCCCCTCTCTGCCATCCTCCTCCTTCAATTCTCGGTCCAGAGGGCTTGCACTCGCCTGTGTCGCATCGGCGGCACCTATAATGTGTACATGGGACGGGACGGTCGACGGTAGCCGGGACGTGTTTCGCTGCTTGTTTTTGTTTGTAATCCCTGGCCATCACGCGCGTTGTGCCCCGCTCCTTCCCCTTCCTCCGAGACGCGGGCTCATCCATATCTGCAGCCTGGCAAACCCATCTTCGCGAACCTCGGGAGGCGGTGGATATGGACAGATCCCCGCCTCGCACCTCCCCCACTATCGTCAGGCACCATCCCCCCATGACGTAGCGCGACCCTGCTCCTCCTCCTCCTCCTCCTCCTTCTCCCCCTCCTCCTCCTCCTCCTCCTCTTCCAACTCCTGCTTCTCCTCCCCCTCCCGCAGTGCGCCCCTCGGCCCTGCCTGCCGCAGCGCGCGCGCGTGCCCCACAGCCTCGCCTCACAGCCAGGTGGTGTCGTGATTGGCGCCTGCGCGGCGCTCGCAGGGCCACCGCGGCGCTCGCGGGCGGCTGGCCAGCGCGGTGCCCGCGGGCTGGGTACTGTGGCGCTCGCAGGCTACTTTTAGTAAGTTCAGGGTTCGCTAGGGGCTGGTTTCCTTTCAAAGCCGCCAGGGCCCTCCTCCAAAAGGCTCCGAGAAGCCTCCGGAAAGGGTCACCGGAGGCTTCTCGGAGGGTCTGGGGAGGGTTTTGGGAGGGTTGTCGTCGTTGTGGAGGGAAGCCAGTCCCTAGCGAACCCTGGGCTTTCCAATGGCTACCCTGGCGTTCACAGGCTGCCGGTGTGCTCAGGGGCTCGTTGCCCGTGCCCGCAGATCCGGCGGCGCTCGCAGGCTGCATTGCGGCGCTCGCGGGGTCCAGCGTGCTGCTGTTGTGCACGCGTGCGCGGAGCTCGCGCGCGATGTTCGGGCGAAGAGAACTTTACGCACGCACCGATCTCGGCAGGGCCCATCCTTGACCCAGGATCGGTGCATGTACCTTCCTGGCCAGGGTAAAGGGCGTGTTCCCCGATCCTGGGCTCAGCATGGGCCTGGCCAGAATCGGTGTGTGTGTGTGTGTGCATAGCTCTCTTTCCTCTATACATGTGGCGCCGGCAGGTTGCGGTTTCCCTCGCCGTCAGGCGGTCGCGAGCGCACTGCGGTGCCCGCGAGCACGCCGTGGCGGTCGCAGGCCTCCCTTGCGGCGCTTTCGGCGTCGGCCGCGCTGGGCGTCGGCCGCGCTGCCGCCGGCTGCGGGGGGCGCCTGCGGCGGCGGCCAGAGCCCGCACCTCTCCCTTCTCCTCTCCTCCTCCTCCGCCTCCGCCTCCTCCTCCTTCTCCTCCTCCTCCTCCTCCTCTTCCTCTTCCTCCTCTTCCTCCTCCTCCTCTTCCTCCTCCTCCTCCTGCTCGTCCTGCTCCTCCACAGTTGCACAACATGAATGCTGCTCTCCTCTCTCTCCTGATGAGGTCCAGAAGATATTCGTCCCGCCTCCGAGTATTTTCTTACACACAGGATTCCCGTTTTTTTGTTAAAACCCATTTTGGTTAAACGTTGCTCCCGCTGCAGCGCTGGCCTCATTTTCGGGCTTCCGCTCGTTCCGAATCGTGCTCCCGCTGTAGCGATGGCCTCATTTCCGCGCTTCCGCTCGCTCCGAATCGTGCTCCCGCTGTAGCGTTGGCCTCATTTCCGCGCTTCCGCTCGTTCCGAATCGTGCTCCCGCTGCAGCGCTGGCGTCGTTATTTCCAGTGCCATGTCACGGCATGCAATACAATGCTATGTGGTGTTCCGCTTTGCATGCCATGCCTTCAGCTGCAATGGTAGGATATGCAGTGCTTGACTAGGCAGTGCCACGCCATGCTGTGGCATGCTACGCTTTGATCTTCTTCAACGCCATGCTATGCCATGTTCTGTTCTGTGCCGCTGTGCGATGCCATTATTTGCATTGCAATGTTTTGTGATGCAATTCTTCACTACGCCACGCCACGCCATGCTATGACGTACTACGCTCTTCCATGCTCTTCTGCGCCCTACTGTGCCGTGCCTTACGAAGCATCGCGCACCCTCTCGGAATCATTGCCCTGCTCGACATCCGACTGTGCGAATAGAGTGGAGATCTACGCCATGGTAAGGGATGGGAGGGAGGGATAGGACGGCAGATATGACACGACCGCACCTAGCTTGTCTTCCTCCTCCTCCTCCTCCTGCGCAGCCTCCTCTTTTTCGTCCTCCTCCTCCTACTCATTCTGCTCGTCCTCGTTGCCCTGTCGTTGTCCTCGTCGTCCTTGTTGCGCCCTCGTCGTCGTCCTCGTGGTCCTCGTCGTCATCCTCGTCGTCGTCACCGGCCTTGCCGTCGCCCTCGTCGCGGTCCTCGTCGTCGTGGTCCTCGTCGAACCCGTTGTCCTCGCCCTTCCTTTTCTTCTCTTCTCCGCCTTCTCGTGCTCCTCGTATTCATCCTTTTGCCTCTCCTTCTTTCTCCTCCTCCTTCTCCTCCTTTCCTTCCTTTTTGGCCAGCTGTTTTAGCACTTGCAGGACTCCGCATGCTCTTGCGCACACGTGTGGAGCTCGCAGCCTATTGCGGTCCTGGCCAGGTCTGGCTTTCCTTGTCACCTCGTCGTTGCCAGCGCATCGTGGTGCTCATTGGCACGTTGTGGTGCCCGCAGGCTGCTGCCGTGCTCACGGGAAGCCTGCTTAGCCGGGAGGCATATGGCGGCGCCTTTCACGCTCTGGTGGCGCCCAGCGGCTCGGGCATCTGGTGCGCACGTCCGTGGCTCCTCTGTGGTCGCGGGCTGCTGAGGTCGGCACGTGCAGGTGGCTCTGCTCTCGCGCCCGCGCGGTGCTGCTGGTGTCTGGCATGCTGCCGTGCACACCGGGGCGCCCGCGTGGCGGCCAGTGGACCGGCAGCGCGCGTCTGCCCTCGCCTCGCCGCCCGGTGGCCACCTGTCGCGCGTTCTGCACGTGGGCACGCTGCCGTGCGCACAGGCGTTCCGTCCGAGCCTGGCTGCAAGGCTTACCACCGAGCGCCTTCCACTGCTCGCAGAGTGCACGCTCGCGCAACGTCCGAAGGCGCACCTGCTTGCCTCGATGTGGTGGGTCGTAGCTCCCCCGCGGCGGGGGCAGGCCATGTGCGAGGAGCTACTCTGCGAGTAGCGGGACGCGCTCGTCTAGCTAAGGTGCGCGGGAGCGCTGCGGTGGTGCTTTGGGGCACTGCTGGGGGTGGGCGTTCAGTTGTGCGCCCCCCCCATCTCCCCCGCATGCCGCCGCTGACGCCATTCCCCGAGAGCTCGGGAGCTCTGCGCTCCCGGGCCGCGGTCGCCGGGCTCTCCGTTGCTACGTAAGCGTGACCAGCCGCCGCACTGACCGTGGGTGCGGGCCCACAGGGGTCGCCCTGGTACTGCCACCCGGAAGCGGCGCACTGGCGGCCACTTTCCTACATGACGGTCGCACCCCAGACCCCCGGACGTCATGTTTTTTGTCTTCTTGTTCATCATCGGAAACTAGAACATATACATAACCAGTGGCGGGTTGTTTTTTCAATTCCACGATTTTTTGAGGGTCGGGGACAACGTCGGGGTGGTGTGGTGTATACTTTTCCTCCGTTCTCCAAGGGAAACATCGAAAAATGTATACACCAGGATCCCGTATACACCAGGATCCGCGTTCCTGT